TCTTTCAAAGATTAACTTAATGTTTGATTAAGGACAAGCAAAAGGTTAAGTCTGGGGGAGTTGATATACCATGATTTTGACCCGTTTTTGGTCATGGTATTACTATGTTTTTATAATAAATATCTTTGTTTTGGAGTCTATTAGGTATGTTTTCAGGTTCAGGAGCATATTGTGGTAAAGTGATGATTTAGGTGCCTTTTGGTTCTTAAAGAAGAGTTTTCCAAGATGACTATGAAGAACCGACATAAGAGATACATATCGATCGATACACACCCTGTGTAATCGATCGATGACGCTTCCGTAGAAGTTGAAGTTGAGATACTCCATCGATCGATGTACACCATGTACCATCGATCGATACAGAGCGTGATGAGCAAGATTTATTTGGCCAACTTGAAGCCCAAGTTCTCACAATTTACAAGATTGCTCCTGACGAGTTTTTTAACCTAATTGTACTTGTATTTATAGCTATGCCTATGAGCCCTAGAAAGACAATCAGAAATTAAGAGTTTTGTATTCTATTCTATACTTAGCAATAAAAGCATTTTCTTTTCATCTTATTCTTTTGCTATGAATCACTTGGCTATGTCTGAGTAGATTCATTTGTTAGATTTAGGGTTCAAATAGTTATGAGGGATTAGCCCCAACTATGGTGTGTTGAATTTTTATATTCATTAACCAAATGAACCCTAATGCTTCTTCTAGATTAGCTACCTAGAAGTATGATTATGGAGTGACTAATCTAATAGTCATTATCCTGGAATCATTTGGCTAAGCTAAGACTCTATTAGGCACGTGCGATAGGCGGTCTAATAGATGTTCTCGGGTGGACACAGATTCAATTCGATCCGATGCTATATCGATCGATACTCCTTTAGAGTAATCGATCGACGACAAAGCATATCGATCGATACAGCGATAGCAACATCGATCGATATTGTCGGCAATCAGATTAATGGACGAGTCTAACTAGCGACAGCTATAGATTTGTCTAAGGATTGAAGTCCTCATATATTTGCAAACAATTCGTTAAAACATCCATAGATTTATAATCCTGATTTTCTGAATAGTAACCTTGAGTCTAGCTATTTTCTCTTATTGTTTTCAAACCCATCTTCTCAGCAACTTACCATTGCTACCAACTATTTATTTTATTGTTTTAAACCTTTTTCAACCTAGCTTAATCACTTAGGATTAATTCTTTTGTGACTCTAGTTCCCTGTGGATTTGATCCCTAAGTACTACGACTGAACCTCTTATTTGAGAGAGCAAATCACTTCTTAGATTAAACATTTGAGTGATATCACTTTGAAACATGATTGCTCATGAGACGTTAAGGATGTATCTATGTTTTTGTTCAACCCTTCCATTTTGATGTGGTGTTGTAATAAACGAAAGATGATGAACGATTCTTTGATCTGAAAATAGGACACAAAACCATGGACCTCTTATTTTTTTCAAGCAAAGGGTACGTCCAAATTGCTCGAAAAAAATCGTCAATAATAGTTAGAGTACACTGCACCACAAGAAGAAGGCACTTGATATGATCCCCAAACCTCAACATAAATAAGAGAAAGACATTATGATGCCAAAAATCCTTACTTCTCCAGCGATGCCAAACAAATCAAGACTACTCCAAGGACTAAGCACAACTTGTAATGACAGAACTTTCACTTCTAGCTTTGTATTTGAACATCCACGTTTTGTAACTCGTCTTCCATTTCTGCTTCTGTTGTACCCAAACTTTCAACATATATCTCTTGATATATGTCAATAACACAACTCTTCTCTCTTTGTGCAATTGATGATTCACAACTTGGACCTTCCAATGTTTGATCTATTATGTCTTTTCACTTTTCTTTCTATCAGTCTCTCCGAGAATATTAGTCTCCCGGCCTGATGATAACAGCCAAGCCAGCACCTCCACACTAGTAGATAGGTATTATCATGTATACTCTCACCTTTGAAAATAAGCTTGACCTCAAGCAAGGCCGGTCCAGAGGGGAAACTACCCAAGCCAAAGATCAGGACATCCAAAACAAGGAGGCATATTTCTAAAACATTTTTATTAGTATTTATAAATATACAGAGTTTTAGATAAATATTACTTATTGAAAATTATTACCCTGTAAACAAAATCTAATAGTTTCTGAGACCAGTGAAACTAATGCTGTTAAATTTGTTTAGTTGTTTCTCATTATCTGTGTAACATATTTATTAATTAAAATTATATAAAAATACTAATGTTTTTAGAAATATTATTATTATTATTATTATTATTATTATATTATTATTATTATTATTATCAAATAAATATAATTATGTTTAGATATAAACTTTTATAAAGTCATATAAAATATCAGTAAAAAATAATAAAAATATAAGTAAAAATATTATTTTTTAAACGTCATATTTTTATTCACAATAGAGTTTAGTAAATTGTGATTGATTATAGTCAAAATGTTGGTGATAATATTAACAAATATTGCTATACAATTAAATTTATATAATTATCTTTAATAGTTATTAATGTAGTTGAATTAATTAAAAAATAATGTGATAGTTTATATTATATATATTTATATTTGATTATTAGAAAAAATGAAAAAAAAAATGTTATTAAAAGTTTGCTTAGCGCATGTAAATGTGTTAAGCATGAACAAGGAAATAAGATGGGAGAATTCCACTGACGAGATGAAAACAAATTTGGTCTTGTATATGTCATTTTTTTTTATTTCCAAGAATCCGTTGCTATGCTCGATTCTCAATGCCAGGTCACGTAACTTCATCATCTTCGAGTTTGATTCAATCGAGTTTCACCGATCGATGATAAAGTCTACCAATTCCCAACTCCCTTATTGAAACTGAAGCATGGATACAAGAAGACACAAGAACGAGCTTCGATGATTGACTCGGTTACACTATCAGGGGGTTGTAATCATCATCACTGATCTCATGACAATCAGGTGCAAGGATTCATGGCGTCGCTTACATTCAACATTTAAAGCATAATAAATCCCTAAAGTTACTCTACTGTTATTTATAGTTCTTCGATCTTGTCCAGTTTTCTTCAATCTAACGGCAAGCCTGCTAATCATCCAGAGAGTTTGCTCTATTCTTTCCACACGCCAGCATATGATATTATAATCCTTGCACCTGATCATCATAAAATCAGGTGTCATTACCACAATGATTCGTAGAATCTTAGAAAAATAGATTGGTCCATCTAAATATATAATAAGCTTCTCACTAATTAACCTTTAAGTTAATTATTAATATTTTCAATTATTTCCTTAATTATCAGGAAACTTCCTAATATGGTTAAAGTGTATATGACAATTAATGAACTTGAATGATAAAGATTTGCTACAAATTACCCTTTATCATTTTTGTTTTAATTTAAATTATTAAAATAAATAAAAATAACTACGTTAACCATATAATAAAATATTTAGATTATTTCGTATATATTATATTTTGAATTTTTAAAAAGGTCTCACACTGAATTTTTTAATGATCCAATAATTATTATTTTCTAAGACAAGATACAAATGATACAAAAATATATAAATAGAAAGACTCATTTAATAAATATTAAGATTAAAATATGTAATTAATATCTTTTAAGTTAAATTATATACCAATAGAAATTACATTAATATTTTAATTTTGAAATTTGGTTTGAACAATATTCATTTTTGATAAGAAGTTTGAAAAAATACTGAAAATTTAATATTCAAATTTAAAAATTTGCATTAAAATTTTTAAAAAATTATAAATTACTAAAAATTTTAATCATCACACAATGAAATTTTTTATCAGTAATTTAAAGTTTTTGTTATAAAAATAAAAATCATCAAAAACCAAATGAATTAAACGCATTTTATCATTTATCAATAATATATATATATATACTTAAATTTAATTATGTACAATATAAAATTGAAAAATTAGTTATTTATATTAATAAAATTTATTTACGTATTGCACCATAATGGTTACTGAATTTAATTACCCAACATATATATATATAGATTATAATATATATAAAAATATATAATATGTAAAAATAATTTAAATATACCACTATCCCGCCCAAAACGCAGATCTTAACCTAATTTTTTATTATAAAGAGCCTAACGTTGTCTCCCCGCATGGAACCATGCACAGGATTTGATGCTACACCAAGAGCCTAAAAGCAGCAAGAAGATCAAGAGGTCTGATGATTCAGACCAGAAGAGAATCCTAAAACAGAAACAAAGTCCAAAGGTTGTTGATTTCTTAGGATGATACGAGAGGATCTAAAAAGATCCTCACTTACTCAGTTTTGTAGAAAACTGCATTTTTGTGTGTTCCCTATCTGCCTCTAGAGCATGTAAGGACTAATTTCTATTTTATTCAGAACAATGTTGTGTAATGGTACCGCACCCTATTCTTTTTTCAGATAATCTCTAAACCGATTAAAGCACCAAATGATTTTTAAACCGCAAATTGTTTTGTCAACCAAACGGTAGATATATCAAGTTGGATGGATAAGGATGTTAATATGCTAAAATTAGAGTAGAGAAGTTGTCCGGAAACAGAGGATGGTTAGGCTAATTTGAAGGGTAGAGTTGAAGAAAAGGTGTGGTTTTATGTTAAAAGAGGAGAGGCATTGATGGTTGTCCGAGTTAGTCTCAGATTAGGCACTTCAAATCAAATTAAGAATCTCTTCTTTCCCACAAAAGAGGACAAAAAAAAAATAGAACAAGAAGTCACATCTATCTAAGATCTTTGTTGTCTTAGGTTTACCTCCATCAACCAAACGCAATGGTGTGTTCTCTCATTCTCTTTTGTCTCCTTTCTCTTTGTGATGAAGTTGAGTTATAGATGTTTTAACACTGTTTCTTGTTATGTGTTTTATTATTTGCGTTCACACATATTATAATGGTTTCTTGAGTGACGGCTTATACGTGTGTGTATGTTCTGTATGACCTGGAAAGGCGAACGCAGCGTCAGGAATGGCGGTGGAAGACGAATGTAAGCTCAAGTTTTTGGAGCTAAAAGCGAAAAGAAACTATAGGTTCATAATATTCAGGATAGACGGACAACAAGTGGTGGTTGAAAAGCTTGGAAGTCCTGAGGAGAACTACGACGATTTCTCCAATTCCCTACCTGCCAACGAGTGCCGCTACGCTGTCTATGACTTCGACTTCACCACTGCTGAGAATTGCCAAAAGAGCAAGATCTTCTTCATAGCATGGTACTACAAAACCCTCATTGCAACTCGTACACTTTTCATGTTACCAAACATTTTTGTTTCTTAACAACATGCATTATATCGATTTGAACATGTGTTGCGACACACACACAGCAAAAAGAATAGCACAAATAATTAGATTAGATCATGCGAAACCTATATTGATTGAGGAAATGGATGATGCATCATGCATATCAAGTTTGATGAATTTCCAAAAATGAAACAAATTGGTGATAAATTGAGTGGCTCATCTCCCATATATATTGATTTAACTTGTATATGTTTAAGATCAATTTTTACTTCCGATGTGATCTTTTGTCCATAAAAATCATGTATATGGTAGGTCACCAGATTCTTCGAGGGTGAGGATGAAGATGGTGTATGCGAGCTCAAAGGACAGGTTTAAGAGAGAACTGGATGGGATCCAAGTGGAGTTACAAGCCACCGACCCAAGCGAGATGAGCTTTGACATCATCAAAAGTCGAGCTCTCTAGATCCGTAAATCCTACTATCATATATTCATAAATGATCCATTATCATCATTCAAATTTAAAGAACTTCTCCATGTTATGTAACTTTCTTGGTTTTTCATTCTCCTTCCTCTTTGACTTTTTTATTTGTTTACATTTTAACTGACATGGGTTTTGATACTTTGGCTTCAGAGAAGCCTAAAACCATGTAGTTTCTCGTGTAATAGCTGCATACTTACCTTGAAAAATAAAATATATTAATTTTCCATTGCAAAATGTCGACATGTTGTACTTGCTTAAAAGAGTAATAAAACGCATACTCACAACGTCCAAGCAATTTACCTGATTCCAAAACCGAATCCGAATCCGAATCCGATCCGAAAAATACAAACTTAAAATTTATAAAGAATCAAATATTTATCAAACATTAATAATTAACTTTTATTATTTAGATTTTATTTTCTATACTATTTTGATAGTAGATTTCTATTCTGTATGTATTCATAAAAGACAAAATAGATTGCATAAAGGAGAAAGACAATTTTGGTAAAACTCCTTTTCTACATTACAAACATGGTTACTTGTTTCATGGACTAAGTCATATGGTTATATTATTTATTTTTGTTTCTGTTTTGGTTATCAACCAAATTAAGCCTATTTTATATCCAAACTATCCAATTTTACCTGAAAATATCAAATCATATATCAGAAAAACTTTGATGCACGTGTAAACAAGGTGTTCCATCTAACTTCTTGGATGAATTATATTTAGAGCAAATTTGCTCTATATACCAAAAGAAACTCAATATACGCAAATTTGCTCAATATACCAAATCTACCTACAAATACTTAATTTACCCAAAATAATGAATATATTCAACTTTATCATTGTAATTTTGTATATTTAGATTATCATAAGTATTGTTATAGCTAATATTTTTGATATGAAGTTATATTTGAATATATACTGATATTTGGATATTTTCGTATATGTTTATTCATTTTTTTGTTTTGGATTTGATATTGGATCTTTCAGTATGTCAATTTTTAGGATTTGTTCAAGTATTAACGCAGGTTCAGTTTGATACCTCATAACATTATGGCTGATTTTGTTAAGTTCTTCGGTTTTGGAACATTTACAGATGCCGACACTCAGAATTATTCATATTTATGACTTTTAATTTAATATTTGTATGATGATATATTCTATATACTAAAATGTCCCGATATAAATGAGCAAAGTGCAAGAGTTAGAAATATTCTTAAACATAGCTTCTTATTTGAAATATTGTTCATATTTTATATAACAAAGTTTTGAGTTATTAGAAATATTGTAGAGATGTTAGAAAATAATAATATTTTTTTAACAACTGAAGCTTATTTATTATTTAGATTGTAACCAAATTACATAAATACATATACAAAGATGAGAATCAACAAATAAATAACTAAAACGATGAGAGCGATTCCCGCGAACTTAAAATCTTTGTCGTATTTTGAGTATCAAATCTTTTTGTTGTATTAAATTGGTCTCATTCCAAATTAGATTTATAAATATTCTTATGTTCAGAATCCAATGTATTGATTCAACCATTAAAAAATTGGAATGACCAATTTTCAATGCTTATAAGAATATCTTCATACATTAAATAGACTACATGTTGCTGCTTCTTGGTTGGTTCCTTCCAAGATTTTAAACAAATATTTTTGATACCAAGTATATTATATCAAAATATAAGTTTTGAAAAAAAAATTGTTGGATGATACCATATTTGTTCTTTCATCTCTAGATCTTTTTCTTCATGTTGAATCAATGGTGGATTCATTAGGGGCTGGAGTTTCCATAACAAATCCAAGGATTTGTTTCAAACATCTCGGATCCCGGATCCCGTATTATTAATAACTTGTGTGAGAATAGTAGAATATAAAAATTAGTATCCTATAATTGCAAAAAAAAAGAAAGAAAAATCGTAAACATGAAACTGTATGCTGTATAGATTACAGTATGTGCTTCTATGTTCTCTAAAACTGATAAGTTATTAGAATTGGTTATAATCTGTATGGTTTGGTTATATTTGAACCAAGTAAGAACAATGGACACAATTTGTCCTCTTTCATATGAAGATAGGATCGATTCTTAAAAATCACATGTAAATAAAATTGATTTTTTAATTATATATTGTTAAACGTAGCTTCATTATTTAATATATTCTTATTAGTGAAAGAGGAAATCAGGCGTCCGCTTTTATGTGAACGAAGAAATCTACATGCGTCTATTGCCTTGTTCGGGAACGCGATAAGCATAGCGCATGCGGTCGATCAGCGCTTAACGAATTGAAAAAAAAAAATTGGAGATTAATCAGGAATTAGTCAGATTAATTTAAACACATTATTTTGATTTTCAAATATACAGATCTATATTTAATATTTATGGGACGTTAATACAATATATTGATGTGTTTTTTTTTTTTTCTGTTGAAATATTGATGTGTTTTAGTGGTAATTGACAAACACGTTTGACCAATAAGTACAATTTTGACTTTCCAAGCCTGAAATTTTATTTGTTATTTTTAAAGAATCTCTAATTTCATAAATCCCACATCCGATAATGTTAAAATTTATTAGTACAAACGGATATAAGTTTTGTGTATATTGATCGGGAGAATTTCAATTATACCACTTTGGTGGTATCACTTTTCATGTTTACCATCAACAAAGGAAAATTTTCAAAAATACACATTTTATTAAAGGATCAAAAACTCTTATATCCTTGTTCTTTATATATATATATATACATAAAATAAATATTAAATAAAATATTAACCTTAAACCCTAAAACATTAATTCTAAAATCTAGACCCTAAAAAGTAAACTCTAAACCCTAAAAATCAACCCTAAACCTTAAAATATCAATTCTAAACCTTAAATCCTAAACTCTAAACTCTAAAAAGTAAACCCTAAACCCTAAAAATCAACACTAAACCCTAAACTATCAATCCTAAACCCAGAACCCTAAATCCTAAATTCTAATAGTATTTTGACTATTAAAATTTTAATGGTAAAGTTGGTTAGTGTAAAGTTGAAAAGTGGTATCTTAAAAGTGTTATTTCTGACAATTTCCCTTGATCGGACTTATGGTAAAATCTACAAACTAATAGAGAATCGGTTATTATGATATACTAAAATATATATATTAACATAAAGTCGACATAATAGTTTCACTGTAACGTACATATTATTATAATACAATCTAGATTATGATATATATCACATGAATTTAGTTAGAATTGTGTTGTACTATTCAAGTTTACAAAGTTAAGCAAAATTTATCAGTACAAACGGATATAAGTTTTGTGTATATTGATCAAACTTATGGTAAAATATATATGCTAATAGAGGATCGGTTATTATATATACTAAAATATATATTAACATAAAGTCGACATCATAGATAGTTTCACTGTAACTTACATATTATTATAATATAATCTAGATTATGATATATATCACATACATGAATTTAGTTAGAATTGTGTTGTACTCGTCAAGTTTACAAAGTTAAGCGAAATAATTATATAATAGATTAAGATCCGCACCTTGCGCAGACGAATGTTGTATATACATATAATTTTATGTATTATTGTTTATTAGTTCTTTTACTTATATTAAATTAGTGAGAGTTCTGTGACTACTATATATATAACTAAATTGGTGCAAAGATATAAATCAAAATAATCATTGTTATTTATAATTATTTTACGGTAAATAAATCCAAATAATATTTTTTTATCTCTTATACTGCTTAGAATTAATTTTAAATGATATGAATATCTATGTAAATTGTATTTTTTTAATATGATTGTTTATTAAATAAAATTTTCCTATTCACATGGTTTTATGATTATTATATTTTTATAACAGAAATATTGAAATATTGATAACAAATTTTTAAATATGGAACTCTTAATATTTTTATTAATTTATAATCATTTTAAAAAATTCAATGAAAACTAAAACTAAAACTATGCATTTTATATAATATATAATTTTATTAAAACAATATTAATATATATAATCTAATATTTATTAAAAATACACCTTACTCATATAATTTTATGGACATTTGTATATTGTTGTAAATTAAAATTAAACCATTGGTCACAAATTTTCAAAGTGTTTCTTTAAAAAAAAGTTTATTAATTTAAATTCGTTTTTAAAAATTCAAAATATAACATATATAGAAAAATAAAAAATTTTATTATTTGGTTAATTTGATTTTGTAATTTAATTTAATAATTTTAATATAAAAAATGATAGAAGATGTATAAATTATTATCAAATCTTTATTATTTAAGGTCATTAATTATCATATATATTTTGATCAGATTAGATAATTCTGTATGTTTATTTAAGGAAAGAATGAATAATATTTTATATCAATAATTAATTATATGATTAGGTTAAAGAAAAAGTATACTTATGTTTAGATGGATCAACTTATTTTCTTAAAGATTTTGAAATTGATTCTCGTGATGACACGTGTCATGGTTCAAAGGTTGTAATGTTTCTTTTTAATATATTGGAGAATAGTTTCAAAATTTTAATTAGTATTTTATTATTGAAATTAATGAACTAATGAATCATCTAAAAACTATTAAACATGACACATAAACAAAATAACATAAAATTATGAAAATGATTATATATCTAATAAGAAAGTTTGAATGTAATATTAATAATTCAGCTCAAAGTTACTTAAAACATGACATATAAACAAAATAACCTAAAATCATAGAGGACATGACACATAAACAAATTCACTTCTCAAATAATAATATAAATATATAAAATTTCTAAATATTGTTTTATATAGTTCAAGTAACAAATATAGTAGAAGAATGTTAGTTTAAATTAAAGGGAAATATTGTAATAAATGAGTTTACACTATAATGAACACGTGGTGGTTTCACAATGATTTTAGAATAAATATGTTAACGTGTCACATATAGAGAACTTCTCAGCCA